TGTGCCCTTTCGCGCACTCGTTGATGAAGTGCGGCCATCCTGCTCTCGAAGCCTGCCGCAGGCGCCGCCGCGTCCGTGCCGCTGAAGATGTCGACCTTCGTGAAGGTGGTGTGGACCTCGCTCGTCGCCTCCAGCCGCCGAAGTGGGGTGGTGCGGTCGATAAACTTCTTCAGCTTCTTGAAAGGACCGACACCGCGCCTCAGGTTGTTGAGAACCTCGAGGCCCTTGGTGGTGGCAGCTGCGCATGGCTGCCGCAACTTGGCCTTGCGCCGCTGCAGCGCCCAAGCCCCGCACTTCACGCAGATGAGCACTGGCCTGTAGGTGTCCTGCGCGCCGCTCTCCAAGGTGCCCTTCTGGTTGACCGCGACCAGCTTGTGGCCGCTGGGGTTGCGCCGATGGTCCAGCAGGAAGGTGGGCGTCCCAGGGCACCCCGTGAGGGGGAGCGGCTGCCCAGGCATGTGCAGCTGCAGGCAGGTGGAGCACTGCGCGCCCAGCTCGCCATCTTGCCATTGGTGCCAGGTTGCCTTCCTCGTGCTCGCTGCCCGCCGCAAGGTCGGTGCCCTCCTGGTCCACCTGATCTGGTCGTCCTTGTCGAAGATGGGCATGACGTGGGCAATCAGCCTCGCAATCTGGCTGATCCTGTCGACGGCCTTCTGCATCTCCTCGACTGCCTTCTGCTCGGGGGCGGGGTGGATCGCCGCTGCCTCCTTGGCCCTGAGGTCCGCCACGATGTTCGCGTCCGTGAGCCTCCTCTGGCTGTCGGAGAGCGCTGCGTACTCGTCCCCAGAGCGGTGCGCCTTGACGTGGGCGTACTGCTGCACGTGCTTGAAGCCGTCGAGCGACTGCGCGAAGTGGGCGATGCACGCATAGGGGGTCCTGGCCTTCAACTGCAGCTCCTTCTGCTTGTTGCCCAGGTGGATGACGCCCTTGAAGTCGGCGTGGACGGTTCAGGGTCGGTCCGCAACCTGCGACACGAAAACCGCCGCCAGATGCTCTCCGACGGCCGACTCCTGGGGCAAAGATGCAGGTACTGCTCCGTGCATAGTCGCCAGCGGCCTGTCTGAGCGGGGGCCGAGCAGGGCTAGGCTCCACCCTGCTCGCTGGAATTCCTTGATGGGCGGCTTGGTGCACGAGCCATCGGTGGCGACCTCCATGCTAGCGTCATCATCCCTGAGGAAGCAGGCTGCCATCTGCTCAAGTTCCTGACGAGCCTCATCAGAAACTGGGGCTCCCTGGCCGTCAAGGATAACGCTGGTAGTACCCAAGCTCATTGACGGAACATCAGCACAAGCATATCCAAAGATGCCTTCAATATACCCAGGCTCATCTGCATGCTGACTTAGCTCGTCGAGGAACTCTTGGGGGACCTCTGCATCAGCTCGAGCTTGCTGAACTTCAGGTCTTGTGCAATCAAGAAGTCGGTGCACGAGAGAGTCGGGAGCTCCACAAGGACACCTACCATCCGTGCTGTATCCACGCTGCTGGGCTCTCGTCTTTGTCCAGACGCCACTGCGCGCGACATTCATGATGCAGAACTTCTGGTGCGCCGTGTACCGTTTGCTTCGCAGGGAGACCAGGGGGGCTAGGATGTCGAAGGTGGCGCGCTTGCCCTCACCAAGGCCAAGCTTGTCCGCTAGGTCTCGCTCATGCTGACATTGAACGCCTTGCTGCAACATCTGGAGCAGTAGTCCTGGGGTGAGCTGCTCCACAAAGACCAGGTCGCCTCGATGGTTACGCCACCTTAGTGCCGAGGTTGCTGTCCAGCCTGCCCGCGCCAGCGAGAGGGCAGCTCGTTGGAGAGGCCCGCGGGTAGTTCCCCACGTGCTGCATACCCCAGGCTCTTCCACCGCTCTCCTCCACCACGTCGTAAGTAGTGCCAGAGGTACTGGTGCCTGCTCAGGTTGCGATACTGCCATCCAGACCATCCGCGACCACTGCAGCACTGGCGCCATTGCAATCGCCACCGTGGGGTCGCCCAGGAGCACCACCTTGGCCGAGGCTGAGACGCCCCCATGACAGGGTTTGCGGAACTTGCCGAAGTCCGTGCGCAGCTTGTGGAGCTCCCTGTCGGTGAGCCCGTTGATCTCCACGCCGAAGGTGGCCGCTGGTCGAGCTCCAGCTCGGAAGACCTTGGCCGTCCGCTGCGTCTGCTGTCCTGGAAGTCGATGTCGGAAACGACCCAGCTTGCGCAGCCTCTGCTTGTAGATCTTGTGGCGCGCCTGTTGCCTGGCGCGGAGGAGCTTCCCTCGCCTCCTCCGTGCTCCCGCGAAGTCCGTGCCCAGGTAGGTCGCCCGAGTGCGATTCATGTCTGTGGGTAGTTTCAGCTGCCGAACCACTTCCTTCCCGATGTCATTTGAGCTGGCCACCACCGCCAGCTTATCATTAATGCGGGCGCCGAGCTTCTTAGCCACATTGAAAAAGGCATTTCCCGCCGCGACCGCTTGCAGGATGACGCTCTCCTTGGTGGCCCCGTTGATGCCGAGGGAGGTGTCGTAGATGTAGGACGCGAACCTTACCAGCGGGTGGAGCGTGACGTAGATGTCGTACTGCTCGATGGCGTGCGCCTTTATGACCACGTCTGCGTATCCGTCGCCTGCTGGGAGGCCGAACTGTGCATGCCGTGGCTGCGCGCCGTGATGCTGGTGAAGTCGTATCACTCGTGGTCCTCTCCACTGGTTGTACACAATTTTGACCATCGCCAAGGGCATGCCGAGCCTCAGCAGCTTATCCCTTGCTTCGTCCAGGGGAATCAGCTCGTAGTACTTGCTATAGTCAGCGATGATGGCGGCCGTGTGCCGCCCTGCCTCTGCATTCTGTTCCGCATCCGCCGCCAGGATCCAGGCACTGTCGATCGCGCTCCTGTTCTTGGCCGCCGCCCAGTAGGGCCTACGTAAAGCCTCTTGTAGAGGTAGAAGGGCAGGTTTACGGAGTCGTTGCCAGACTCTGTAGGCCATGGAGAACAGGATGATCAACCGGTGGCCGCCAGCGGCCTTGGGCAGCATCGGCATCACCATCCACGTCAGCTGGACGGGGAAGAGGCCCAGCGCCTCGCAGGCCAGCATGATGTCGCACAAGCCCTCCAACCCGTCGTCGCTGAGGTGCTCCAGGTGCGTAGGGTGCAGGCCGTCCAGGCTGCTGGAGGTCGTGATGCTGAAGGTTCGGGAGGCGCGTCGAAGTTCCTCTGGTGATGGCCGTTCGAGGGTAGACCTATCAGGAATCCGCGCCTGGGGGGCCTCCTTCGCCGCCTTCCAAAGCGCTGCGTGCGTATCCTCCATATCCTTGACTACAAAGTGCGGGTGCCCTGTGATGCCGTTCTCCGAGTCGTTGACAGTGGTGGGGGCCTGAACCTCTCGCGCGCGCGTGGCCTTGTGAAGCTTCCTCGCTCCGCCAGCGCACGCCCCGTCGCACCACTCTTTCCAGCGCCTCGAAGATTCCTTGTTCGCTTGCTGCATGGCGAAGTTGACGTCCTCGTCGATCTCTTCCGAGAAGGTCCTGATGTCCTCGCTGCTGAAACTCCTCTGCGCTCGCTGCCGAGCTTGCCGAACGCATGCGTCGAGCCGCGCGCTGAGGTTCTGGCCACAGTAGTCAACAGTGAGGAAGCCCTGCACCTCGTTGTCGAGGACCTGTCGGCCTTCAGGTGTCCTGGCATTCGCCTTTGCAGTGGAGAGGCCCGCCAGGCAGTCCTGCAGCCACTTCCAGCCATCCGCGATCGCCTGCACCTCATCATCCGTGAGGATCTGGTGCTCGCGCTCGACCCACTTGGCTTGGAGCGGACGAGCGTAGGCGCTGGCCCGCACCTCCGTACCTGTGAGATGCCCGAGCCTCGAGGCCGCCCTTGTCGCCCATCTGCCCCAAGCCTTCGAGAGGAAACGCCAGGCGACTGCAGCGGGCGCCTCCTTGGCCATTTTCAGCGCCTGCTCAGCGAAGCTGCGCTCCAGGGACCAGCTGCTCTCCTCGAGGAATGGGCCGTGCACGGTCTGCGCTGGTATCTTCGCGCCGCCGACGTAAGTGAGGTACCTGAGCTTGGTGCCCTCCGCTGTCAGTTGTAGCTGAACTGGTCGATGCGGCTTTACCGCCCAGGTCAAGTCGGCCTTGCATGCAGCTAGCATGCGCATGGAGCCCGTGGTCAGCCCGAAGTAGTCGATGGTTGAGACCGACGCCGCTGTCCTGCAGGTCGCGTGCCTCGGGGTGACCATCTCCAGCTGCGCGTGCACGGGGAAGCTGGAGTCCTTGACAACCTGCACGTCCATGTTCCAGTCGCCGCCGATGATGCCAGGGTGAGCCTGGCCCGCGAGCGCGAGCCCCACCGTCATGAGGAGGCTGGCGTTGCGGTTGCTCATGCCCTCCCCTGTGTGGAGGTAGACGTTGACGACGTTGAGCGGCGGCCAGTTCGGCAACTCCACGACGACGTGCTGGGCCCTGCCGCGGACGAGCTCGGTGCCGTGCGAGATGGTCTCGTTGACGCTGCCTGCACGTCTGGGCGGGGCCTCGTCAGGGTACGTGGGCCCGCGCAGCCCGATCCCCTCCCTGGCGAAAACTGCCAGATCTGCAGAGGGGAGATGTCCTCGTGAGGGCAGCCCTGGCACGATGAGGCTTTGCCAGCCGCGTGCCGTTGCCCAAGGGGAGAGGCTCTCGCAATCGTCGATGCCGTAGCCGATCTCATGGGCCAAGATGACCATTGCTGTTGACCTTCTCAGCCGCTTCTGGAGGGTTAGCTTTCCCTGGTTGGCGTTGAAGGTCTCGAAGGTGTGCGTGATGGCGGCCGCTGCTGGTACCTGTAGCTCCTTGGCGCCCGCGCTGGCGGCCAGTAGCCCGCTGACCAAGGGCGGGTTGCCCAGGCAGCGTGCCTGTGCCCAGGGAGCCTGCAGGGTGCCTGTGCCCAGGGAGCTGTTCTGGACCTGCGTGAAGGCGTCGGCCAGCTGCTCCTTGGTCCAGTCCGAAGGCTGCTGCCCGCTGCTGAGGAGCTGCTGCCAGAGGGCGCCGACGTCATCCTTGGCCAGCTCCACCCAGGTGGCGCCGCGCTTATCACCTCCTCGAGGTTGAGCGGCGCCGTCGGCGTCTTCGTCCATGTCATCGTCGTCCCGAGCTGGCGGTCCGTCGGCTGCGCCTGCGCCACCGCCCTCAGCATGAGGAGCATGAACACCAGGTTCCTCAGCCATGGCCGTAGCCAGCTTCTCTGCCGCCTGCTTGCGGAGGGCCGCCTGGATCTGGTCGAAGTGGGGGCTCGCCTTGAATTGCGCGAGGGCCTCCTTCGCGCCGTCGCCGTCGAGCTGCTCGGCGAGGTCGAAGCCAACCAGGTCCTCCTCCTTGATGACTGGGTGGGGCTTTTCACCCCGTGCAGCCTGCATGGTCTGCTCGTGCTTCGCGTTCTCCTTGCGCAGGACCTCCACCTCGGCACGCTTTGCCGCGATGGCCTCCTGCTTGTCCTGGATCTTGCGCTGGGTAGCCGCCAGCTGCTCCCTCGAGGCCCTGCAGGTCGCTCGTGAAGCGGTCCAGCTGCTGCCTGCACCGCGCGAGCTTCTGGGACGAGGCCTTGTATGCAGCACCTGGGGGGCGCAACTCGCGCGCCTGCTGCCGAAGGTCGTCGAGAGCCCGCTGGTGCAGGAGGTGGATCGGGCCGCCCTCTGCCTCCACGATCTTGCACTCCTTGAGGCTCTTCTCGTGGAAGTTGATCTTCGCCTGGAGCTCCGTGCGCTGCTGGATGTTGCCCTGCCCCTGCTGCGCCTGCTCCTTGCTGCCAGTGCCCGCTCCTGAGGCCGCTGGTGTCGTATCGATGGAGGCCCCTTGGGACTGCCCGCCTGCTGGGAGATGCACTGCAGCACCAGCTCGCGGATCTGCTTCTCCGTGAGGCCGCTCTCCTTGGACCACGGGGCAGGCTTCTGCACGAGCCCTGTGCCGCCTGCCCTCTGCGAGGGTTTCTTGTTCCGCGCCTCCTGGTCAGCCCTCTTGGCAGCGTCGACGGTATTCTGAAGAGCCTGCCGCCCGCAGGAACACACGATGCGGCAAGCCCAGTTGTTGCTCTTCCCGCACAGGCAGCCCCAGACAGGCTCGCGGGGCCCGCGCAGCACTCTCGCCAGCGGCGGTGCGGGCGCCATCGCCCCTGCTGAGGAGCCGTGATGGGCGTCCAGCCTCTGGGCCGCGCCGCGCAGCCTGGCTACCAGCGCAGGGGTCGTGCGCCCCGACCAGGCGTGGAGGAGGAGCCTGTCCTCCTTGCGTTGCAGTCGCGCTCGATGATGGGCGGCAGTCTCCCGCGGAGCCGCCGTCGCGAGCGCTGGTCTCGGCGCGCGCCAGGAGCCTATCCCCCTCGCCTGCCCCGCAGGCGGGCAAGGGGGGAGGCAGCTCCTCGCGAGCCGAAAACTACGGCTCAAGAGGGCCCCAAGACGGCCCACGAGGCCCCCTGGACAGCCCAAGGCAGCCCTAAGAGGAGCCCCGTCGGAGGAACACGACTTGATTTTTCTAGCTCGCCGACCCGCAAGGTCTTCCCAAGACGCCAGAGATGGCCTCCCGACGGCCCAAGACGTCGCCAAGAAGCCCCAAGAGAGCCGCAAGAGGCTCTCCTAGAGAGCCTCAAGAAGCAACAAGTGTCCCTTTCCCGCCAGAGAACGTACATGTTGCCCATATACGACGTTTCCAGGTCCAGCGCGTCCAACACTGCCCAGGAGACCTTCAAGATCGCCCCAAGACGGCCCAACAGACTCCCAACATGGGCACAAAACGGCCCCAGCGCGTCCAACATTGCCCAGGAGACCTTCAAGATCGCCCCAAGACGGCCCAACAAACTCCCAACATGGGCCCAACACGGCTCAAGAGGGCCCCAACACGGCCCACGAGGCCATATGGACAGCCCAAGACAGCCCTAAGAGGAACACCATCGGAGGACCACAACGTGACCTTTCTAGCTTGCCGCCCCGCAGGATCGTCCAAGGACCCCCAATATGGCCTCCAGACGGCCCAAGACGCCACCAAAACGCCCCACCAGAGCCCCAAGAGGCTCTCCTAAACCAGCAAATCAGAGAACGTACATTCTGCCCATATACGGCGTTTCCAAGTCCAGCGCGTCCAACACTGCCCAAGAGACATTGAATATCACCCCAAGAAGGTCCAACAGACTCCCAACATGGGCCCAACACGGCCCCAGCGCGTCCAACACTGCCCAGGAGACCTTCAAGATCGCCCCAAGACGGCCCAACACTCCCAAGATGGGCCCAACACGGCCCAAGAGGGCCCCAACACGGCCCAGGAGGCCCCCAGGACAGCCCTAGACAGCCCTACGAGGGGCCCCATCGGGGGAGCTCGAATTGAACTGTCCATCTTGCCGACCCGCACGATCGTCCCAAGACGCCCAAGATGGCCTCCAGACAGCCCAAGACGCCGCCAAAAAGCCCCAAAAGAACCTCAAGAGGGTCTCCTAAGGAGCCACAACAAGCAAAACGTGTCCCATTCCCTCCAGAAAACGCATTTGTTGCGCGTATACGCCGTTTCGAGGTCCAGCGCGTCCAACACTGCCCAACAGACCTTCAAGATCGCCCCAGGACGGCCCAACAGACTCCCAACATGGGCCCAACACGGCCCAAAAGGGCCCCGAGGCGGCCCACGAGGCCCTGTGGACAGCCCAAGACAGCCCTAAGAGAAGCCTCATCGGAGTCATCGGAGGAACACGAATTGAACTTTCTAGCTCAACGACCCGCAAGATCGTACCAAGACACCAGAGATGGCCTCCAGCCGGCCCAAGACACCGCCAAACGGCCCCAAGAGAGCCTCAAGAGGCTCTCCTAGAGAGCCTCAGCAAGCAACAAGTATCACATTGCCAGTCAGAAAACGTACATGTTGTCCATATACGACGTTTCGAGGTCCAGCGCGTCCAACGCTGCCCAAGAGACCTTCAAGATCGCCCCACGACGGCCCAACAAACTCCCAACATGGGCCCAAAACGGCCCCAACGCGTCCAACACTGCCCAGGAGACCTTCAAGATCGCCCCTGAGACGGCCCAACACTCCCAAAATGGGCCCAACACGGCTCAAGAGGGCCCCAAAACGGCCCACGAGACCCCCTGGACAGCCCTAGACAGCCCTACGACGGGCCCCATCGGGGGAGCTCGAATTGAACTTTCCAGCTTGTCGACCCGCACGATCGTCCCAAGACGCCCAAGATGGCCGCCAAACGGCCCAAGACGCCGCCAAGAAGACCCAGGAGAGCCTCAAGAGGCTCTCCGAGCTCTCTCGAGAACCACAACAAGCCAAAAGTGTCCCGTTCACTTCAGAAAGCGTACATTTTGCCCATTTGCGACGTTTTGAGGTCCAGCGCGACCAATACTGCCCAAGAGACCTTCAAGATCGCCCCAAGACGGCCCAACAAACTCCCAACATGGGCCCAACACGGCCCAAGAGGGCCCCAAGACAGCCCTAAGAGGGCCCCATCTGGGGAACTTGAATTGAGCTTCCTAGCTTGCCGACCCGCAAGATCGTCCCAAGACGCCCAAGATGGCCCCCAGACGGCCCATGACGTCGCCAAGAAGCCCCACGAGAGCCTCAAGAGGCTCTCCTGGAGAGCCTCGAACACCTGGAACCTCGAATCGGGTCGAAATGGATCCTGCCAGACGCCCCTCTCCCTGCAGGACCCGCCCGCTCCCTTTTCGGTGCGGGGGGCGGAGAAGGTGGGAGGAGGAGGAGGAGGAGGAGGAGGAGGAGTAGGGAGGAGGAGAGGAGGGGGGGAGAACGAGGAGGGAGGAGGAGGAGTAGGGAGGAGGAGAGGAGGGGTGAGAACGAGGAGGAGGGAGGAGGACAAGGAGGATGAGGGGAGGAGGAGGAGGAGGAGGAGGAGGAGGGGAGGAGGAGGAGGAGGAGGAGTAGGAGGAGGAGGGGAGGAGGAGGAAGGAGGAGGAGGAGGGAGGAGGAGGAGGATGAGGAGGAGGAGGAGGAGGAGGAGGATCGAGATCGTATCGAAATGGATCGAAGTGGACCCTGCCATGGACCCGTCCTGCAGGAACTCGGACTCGGAACTGTCGGGCGCACCGAACAGGAGCGCCAGGAAGGAGGGGTCAAAGCGCATCGTGGCCCTTGAAGCATGTGAACGGACGAGGGGCGGGCAAGGAGCGCGCGGAAATCAAAATAAGGAGGTAACATATGACAACATTCTAATTCGCGCGCGCGTGGCGGACCCTGGGGGTCACGGGGCGGAAACTACCCCGGGCAACTCCTGGCAAGTCCCCGTCAGAGATGCCGGATCTCTTGAGCGCGGGCCTGGGAGCCTCTGGAACTGGCCAGGAGTGGCCCAATGAGTCCACAAATAAGTAGCATGCCCTACGGCCAGACGCCAAGAGCGTCCCATAGCGGCCCAAAATAGTCTCACGATGGCCCTCGATGCCTCCAACACGCCCCTCGAGGCTTCCAAGAGGCGTCCAAGAAGCGGAAATCATTGAATCACAAGGTTGTTGGAAGTTTTGAGCCTTCTCGCCTTTTCGGCTTTCCCATGCTCCAAGGAAACCCAAGAAGCCTCCAGGACCGCTCCAAAACAGCCCCACGATGGCCCAAATCGGCTCCCGAAATGGCCCAAGAGGCGGCCACATGGGCCCAAGAACGCCCCGAAACGCCCCAAGAGGGGCCGAAGAACCCCAACCATCGCCCCAGGCCGCCCAATATGGCCTCAAGACGGCCCAATAGACCGCCAAGACGGCCCAAGAGGCTTCCTCTCCTCCTGCTCCTCAGCCTCCTCTTCCTCCTCCTCCTCCTCCTCCTCCTCCTCCTCTTCATCCTCCTCCTCTCTCCTCCTCCTCCTCCTCCTCCTCCTTCCTCCTCCTCCTCCTCCTCCTCCTCCTCCTCCTCCTCCTCCTCACTCTCCTCCTCATCCTCCTCTACCTTCTCCGCTTCCTGCGGTCGCATTCACGAGCCGCCACCCTCCAAAACGGAAAAGCTTAAACTTGCGACGAATACCTCCGATCTGCGACATGGCCCCACAACGACCATCCGGAATCATCAACCCCTCACCGATACAAGCAAATCA